AGGAAGTCGTAGGAGGGAATGAAGTGTGGATGGATTTACACGACACTCGACGGGTTATTCTTCAGCTTCATTTTAGACACCATTTTATATTATATTATTCAAATGAAGAGGATCAGTCTTGACGACTGTGTCACATTAAGCAGCCTCCTCCTCTTCATCCCCTTCCTCCTCCTCTTCCTCTTCTTCTTCTCACTGCAGTCTTTCATCGTAAAATTAAAAAAAATCTAAAGTTTATAAACAGATGTTTTTTCTTCTTCCTGAGGCCGACCATAAAAATGTTCCACTTCCAATAAAAACACTCGCTCACCCCATCATCATCATCATCATCATCATCATCATCATCATCATCATCAGTGGTACTGAACAGACAGTACTAGTTGAGCTCATCCCTGTGGAACACCGTGGACAGAGGGGACTCCCCAGGCAGGAAACTAGTTAATGGTTAATTAACAAAACCAGCTTTACCCCCCATCACCCCCTCCCCTCCCTCCTCAACACCCCCCCCTACACCCCTGACATTCCTCAGCCCGCTCCTCTTTTGAATTCCAAAGGTGATCATTTGAGACATGTCACCAGTGAAGAATTGCAGCTAACAGGGGTATTTGGAAGTGTCTGCCCCGACTCATTCACTCACCCCCGTCCTCCCCCGTCCTCCCCCACCTCCATTGCCCTCAGGCATTCAATTACTCACATTGCCTGTCTGAGTCCTGCTGTGTTTTTGCTCAGGCGACTTGATACACCCCTCTGACCCCCCACTTTACAGTGAGGGTCGGAGCTGCACCACCAGGAGGCGATCACATCCAGAATGATGCTCAAAATAAGGCTGGTGTGTGACGTGTTGGTGCTGCAGTCAAGATGAGCAGAAGGAAGAAAAAAAAGTTTTTACTCTTTTAGTTTGGTTTTTTTTTTGGGCCGAGAACCTCAGGTTTGAAACAGATCGTTGGCAGCACGACTGTAAACACGAGTCAGTGATGTTGGGACAGTGATTGTTGTCTGTTAAAATATTTTTTTTCTATTAAAGTCAATGACACGTGGTGGAGTGTGAGGTTAGCTCGCTCGCCTTACAGCAGGACGACCAGCGGTTTGTAGGTTCGAACCCTGGTCTGTTTGTTTGGAGGCTGAGTGGCTGCTCTGGTTAATTCATGTCATTAATCACATTGTTTGTTGTTAATGTGATTTTTTTTTTTCTGCAGACTGCACCCCCATCCTCTCGACCCATTCAGGAGCCCCCAGTTATCAGGAAAGAGGAGGGGTCTGTTTCCAGAGGGACGGGTGAGTCACGCCCATGGTCCATTGTTAATTTAACAACAATAAACATGTTAAAAACCCCACTCCCCTCACCCCTGTTAATGATTAATAAATTAATAATTTTATTTATATATTTTAACATAAATATTTCATTAAGTGAATAAAGTTAAATGAACAAGTTATGTGTTAAATACAGAGACGTTTATACTGTACGTAAAGGTGAGGAGGGGCACGTGTTTGTAACGGGGCTCCATGACTCTACGTTCACTGGTACACATCGCCATCTAGTGGACAATTTTTCCAACTGCACCAGTTGACCTCAAGTAGCGTGTACTGTGAAGCTGCTGTGAATACATCTTAAATATATACAGTGGTAGAGCTGACGAACTACAAGTGAGAAACACTTTAATAAATATCGTCATGTTTAGAAATACTGCAGTAAAACTACTTCTACGTCACCTACAGCCCCTTATGTTTATTCATTTAAAAACTGAATTACTTAGTAATTATTTAAAAATGTTACTAAATTGTGTATTTAGTATTTAAGGTAACATATTTATTTACAATCCAATAATAACAAGCAACAATAACAGCAATACTGATAGATATTAGTGTTATTAGTGCCCCCTAGTGTCTTATACAGCACTAAAACATTAACACTTATTACAGCTCTGACAAACAGGCTATTTTACAGTTCAACACTGAAGCACATAACAGAAAACAAGACTTTTACAGCCATGAAATTTAATTAATTTTGATTTTATTTTATTTTTTGTCTTGTGTTCAGCCACTGAAAACCATCAAGTCTCAGTGGAGTCCAGACCAGGACTTCCCGGGTCTCCAGGTGGGTCATAAGAGCAAAAAAGAGAACATTCTCCTGCTCCACTGTGTCCTTCACGTGTCTGCTCTTAACGTGGGACCAAACATACTTTAAAAGAATGCGTGAAATAGTGGTGGTCATGTGAGGTGTTCAGGTCAGCTGGGAATAAACGGCATTATGTGAAAATAAACACAAGAGTAATTATTATGGGCCCGAATAAATGTAAACAATTCATATAAATATGTTATAGTTACTTTAACGGTTAATTTCTGATATCATGAAACGAAATTATTTTTTATTCCGATTTATCGCAGGCTCACAGTTTAGCTCATACGTTTGGTTAACAATGTGCACAGTGGTCACAGAAGGTGGTTTAAAGATGGCGGCCGTCATGACGCATTAAAAGTCCTCCTCTTTACACGGTCGTAAACACAGGTGTCTTCACCGGGAGATTTAAATGTTGTTGTCGGTGTTTGTTAGCTGCTAACGTCGAGCACAGCCATTAGCCTTTCAGACGCTATCTCGCCCTGGAGGCTGTTGGTGACATTTGTTGTATTTCAGGACAAGCAGGAGCCAAAGGAGAGAAAGGAGACCGCGGGGATAAAGGGGAGAGAGGAGACCGGGGGCCGATCGGAGCGAAGGGAGAATCTGGCTCCAGCTCCCGAGGAGGAGGCCACGGAGAGAAGGTTCGAAAATTAAATCAGAGAAACGGTGTTTAAAAAATGTAATCCTCTAAACACCCACTAGATGGGAGCTACAAGCACTAGTTTAACTTTCTACTACTTCAGTGAAGTGTCTTTCAGATGTAAAATAATAATCTGTATTTAACACAGTAACAGTATTTATATTTTAGTTGTATTAAGGCAGAGGTTTGTGATGATGACGACCATAGTTTTCTATTTTTATAAAAAGTTGTTTTAAAATTATTGTACTTTAAAAAATACCACATTTGAAACTAATGAAAACACATGTAATTTCTGCAGAACTGACATTTTCCCTGTATTACTTCTAATATCAATGAGTGAATGAGCAGTTGATGTTTGTATTTTACTAAATGTCCATGTTAATGATTTTACCCTTTTGTTTTGTTTCAGGGAGAACCTGGAGAGAAGGGATCAAAGGTCAGCCTGAAAATTATTTGATAATTATTCTTACAGATAATAATTATGCTAATATCAGTCGGCCGATGCTCTAATTGGTTGAGAGCCAGTACTGATCAACACAAGTTCACCTTTGATGATAATGAAGGATACATGTTTACATACTGCCCCCCTCAGGTCTCTAATGGTAACAACTCTTTATTACCAGGGCAGCGCAGGCTTTGGCTACCAGGGAACGAAGGGTGATCGAGGGCTCCCTGGACCCCCAGGCCTCCCCGGCCCCCCAGGACCCACCCCTGATTATTTACTCACCAACGATGGCACCGTGGTGCCTGCAGGACCCAGAGGACCACCGGGGCCTCCAGGACCCCAAGGACCAGTAGGAGCCGACGGAGAACCGGTTAGTGATGAGAAGAAACTGCTGATGTCGTCTGTCACATCAATATATAAATATATTTGTGCTGTAAACGTCAGCGTCATGTCAGTCATCATCAGGTCGTGTACTGTTGGTAGTAACCGTCTCCATTTACTTCATCCATGCAGGGTGATCCTGGTGAGGACGGGAAACTGGTGAGTAAAACCACAGTCCCAGTCCTAATCCTAATCAGATTATTGGATTAATTAACAGACAAAGACAGCAAAGTACTTCCACAGCTGGCACTGGAAAATATTTGTGTGTACAAGACAAGTACCAACAGTGGTGCATGTACCATAGTTTGAGAACCATTAGTGTAGACTTTACCTTTTGTTTCTTCAACACAGGGTCCTGATGGACCACCAGGCTTCCCAGGTACGCCCGGAGACCCCGGACCTAAAGGAGAAAAGGTGGGCTCTTCAGTTGTTCTCACACAAATATATTTAAAGATAACTGGACCTGACTTCTTCTTCTTCTTTATAACTGGACCTGACTTTTTCTTCTTCTTCTTCTTCTCCTTATGGTCACCCTGGGGCGCGCGGCCCCCCAGGCCCACCTGGACCACCTGGACCTGGATACAGATCTGTGAGTTCATTCTCATGACATTTCACAGCCACATCTTCAACGATGTGTAAAACAAAACAAAAAAAAACTAATTCCAACTGATGTTTTTTTGTTTTTAATTCCCAGACTTTTGTGGACATGGAAGCCTCTGGTTTCCCGGACCTGGAATCTGTCAGGGTGAGTTCTGTCTGACGTTTGTGTTGTTGTTGTTGTTGTTGGAATATCAAAAATATAAATAAATAAATTTAATATACGTCTCGTTCCCAGGGACTACCTGGGCCACCTGGGCCTCCTGGTCCACCTGGGCTTCCTGGAATCTCTACGGCGAGCACGGTCTTGAGTTCTGGGGCATTTGGACCTCCAGGAAAAGATGGAGCACCTGGTCAACCTGTGAGTATCAGTGATGGTGTTTATGAACCCTGCTGGTCACTGTAGTTCGTACCATCGTCAAACCAAAACCTCGTCCGTTCTCTGTGACCCCCAGGGTTTACCTGGTCTACCAGGAACTGATGGAAGTCCAGGAGTACCAGGTGCCAAAGGAGAAAAGGTATTTCTATAATGACAGGACTTTAAATTTGTGTACTCAATATCAGAGCCAGAAATACTTCAGAGTACTATTATTGATATATTTAATTGTACATGAATGTGTATCAACACAGTTGAACGGAAATCCTCACAAATGACACATCTGTTCTACTGTTAGCGACAACACAGCCGATGCTAACACTCTAGGAATTATGGGTCGTTTGCTGGTTCCTAACATAACAACTCTTCAGGAACCTTCAGTGAAATGAAAATGTTTTTAATGACGTTGTGTTGTTGGATTTTTCCAGGGTGATTCTGGAGAGCTGGGTCTTCCAGGCCCTGTTGGAGAAAAGGTGCGTAAATTTATATTTAAAAAAAAAATCCTGTTCAGATGAGATGTTTTGATTGTAAAACCTGGTGCTGTTTAGTTGAAAACACTCACAGGAATTCATGAAAGAGACACAACTTTCTTTTTATGTTTTTAAAGCCATCTACTGACACCTAGTGGAAGAAAATTAAAATATTCTGCCTTTGATTGTCACTTAGAAAAAGACATATTTTTGCAGTAAATAAATAATACATATATAGTATGTCTTAATTAAAATACTTAACTAACACTGATGTGACTTTCTCATACAAACCCACAGGGATCTCGAGGAGACCCTGGTTTATCAGGACCTTCAGGACAGTCTGGACTCGCTGGTCTGCCCGGGCCAATGGGCCCTGTGGGGCCCCCCGGGCCTCCTGGACCCCCGGGACCAAGTTATCGTGTTGGATTTGTGAGTACTGTCCAACATTGTACTTTTTATTACTTTTTTTTCGTATGTACTATGAGGAAGGCGTGGTGAAATAGGTCAAAGGTCAAATATTCTTTCTGATAAAGTCTTTGTTGTTCTGCAGGACGACATGGAAGGTTCTAGTGGCGGATACTCCAACGGACTCCCTGGACGGGAAGGACAACAGGTCAGAGAAGACTGAAGTCTGTCTGATATTGGGACAGACAAAAAAGTTCAAATCTTATTTAGTTGAAACCCTGAATTGAATATTTTTAGAAGTAAATAAATACTTTGTCTTCTGTACTTTCAGGGTTCTCCTGGTTTTCCTGGACTTCCGGTGAGTAAATATTTCCAGGGATTCATTATGAGATGGAACTATTAGTACCGATGTACCGATCGACATCATGAGGTCGACGTTCCCTCGTCTCGTTCAGAGGATTTTACTCTTTGTTTTTGCCCCCCCGCCCCGCAGGGTAAACCTGGGTTTCCTGGTCTGCCGGGTCAGAAGGGCAGTGAGGGACCAGTGGGAAAAGACGGACAACCAGGACTGGACGGGTTCCCAGGACCTCAGGTAAAAGACAACGTTCTGGAGGGGTGGTCTGGACAGACTGCAGAACTGGAATAAAAAAAAACAAACTCCTGTTTTAGTTTAATATATATCTTTAAATTGCTTCGTCCCTGACTAACAAATATACTGTATATGAGTCAAAAATACACTGTGTTTTTCCTGTGTTAAATCCACAGGGGCCGAGGGGTGAGAGAGGTGACAAGGGGGAGACGGTGAGTGACGGGTTTTACTTTTCTCTCCTCTGTTTCCTGTTCAACGTTAACTGATGTCTGTGAAGAACCGTCACTGTCACGTTCAGGGTCCTGTTAACGGTTTCATGGATAAATGTTGACTGATTGATTGATCAACCACTGGTTTATTAAACCTCATTTATGAATTTAGAAATTGAGTTTGAATAAACATTAATAAAGTTTGTCTTTTTTGTTTTTTTCTTAGGGTGAACCAGGTCGAGACGGATCAGGATTCCCAGGTCCACCAGGGCCCCCCGGACCACCAGGACAGGTCGTCTACTCCACGTCTGGAAACGTGCGTGATACAGAAAGAAACAATGAATTTCTGCACAGCTGATTAGATACAAAAATATTGTCATCGATGACTGGAGTCAGTGACGACATGGGATTATTTGATTACTCTAATGAGATTATAATATTATGTGATTATGTGATTAGATTATAATCTATACATTAGATTATAATCTCTATAATCTATAGAGATCAGATTATAATCTGATGAGATTATCATCTGATGAAATTCTAATCTGATTAAATAAATATGTGATTTCATTAGATTCTTATCAGATTATAAGATTATAATCTGATGACAGAGTCTTTGCTGTTGTTGTTGTCTTTCCTACAGGACAGAGCGTCTCTACCTGGACACCCTGGCCTCCCTGTAAGACTCTTAGTTTTTTTAGTTACGTACCTGCATGTTAACGTAAAAAAGTCAGTCAGTTTCACAGCTTCTAGTTGTTGCGTCGTTGTTGATTTTCACTCGGTGTCTTCTGTCGCCTGTAGGGACCAGTTGGACCAAAGGGTGACAGCGGAGAGCCGGGTTCTCCTGGCTATGGAATAAAGGTAGACTTTTTTTTTAGTTTTTTTTAGTTTTTTTGAGATGTTCACTCAGCTTCATTGTCATTTAAACTGCATGATGTGATGAGAATAAAACACTGGTGTCAGGTCTCAGTGTGGTCCATGGAGAGGAGATAATAAAGTTAAGAGTGTTGTTGTTTGTTGCACTGACAGGTCTGTTTGTTTGTTTGTGTTCAGGGGGAGAAAGGTGAACCAGGTTTGGTGATCGCTCCTGATGGAAACCTTCTGGAAGGATTACGAGGAGCAAAGGTGAGTCCGGGTTTGTTTGGACCTGTGGTTCTGTTGGACTTAAACAAATAAAACCTCTTCTTTTTTTCCTCCGTGGCTGCAGGGGGACACCGGACCCTCGGGTCCAGTCGGACCTCCTGTAAGTTTATCACACCTCAATCGGAGTGTTCACATGTCAGAAATACTACTGTAACTGGTTCTGTGTTTTCATCATAAGTCAACTGTTTTTCCAGGGTCATTATGGACCTCCTGGAATCAAGGGTGAAATTGGAATGCCTGGGAGACCTGTGAGTGTTTTCATTTCCTGTCCTGAGAACATTTATATCCTCACTGGAACAGCCTGATCTGAGTCGCTCAGATCAGAACAATATTCTTATTTTAGATCATATCTCATGTTTGTCGACGACGTCTCTTACTACACAACAAGAACCGTCGTTGCTATAATTGAGTCTGTGAGAATTAAACTCTTGAATTAAAAGATTTTTAAAGCAGTGATCTCCCTGCTGACCTCTCTGCTGCCCTCTGCTGGTCAGGTCAAGAAGTAAAACGTCAGTGCAGCTGTGGATGTAGAGAAGATTAAAGAGTAAATGCTACGTTTTATTGTGTCTGTTTTTTTCCTCTCAGGGTCGTCCTGGTGTGAATGGATACAAAGGTGAAAAAGGAGAATCAGGAGGGGGCGCTGGATACAGTTTCCCAGTGAGTATGAAAACAAAACAGTGTGGACTGTGAGGAGGTCACTGGAGGAGGTCAACATTGATTTTTTTTCTTTTTTCCAGGGTCCTCCAGGACCACCTGGTATGCCTGGACCCCCAGGACCTCCCGTTCCTCTGGACCGCTTCAATGTGAGTAGAAAAGAGTACAGCGTGTAGCAGTTAGGTGGCGCTGTCCCTGAGGTCAGACACCTGTGGTATTTAAACCATTCTGTGATCGATGGTTTTTTTATGGTTGTTGTTTTGTTCTTTTTAAAGCGCTACGACGACAATTCAAGGAATTACCCAGGTAACACACACACACACACACACAGACACACCAGAATCTTTTCATTGTATTTGTGAGTTTAAAGTATTACTGCAGTACAGTCGGCCTCATCCAGTGAATGATGTTGTGGTTGCAGTAGTCAAAGGAGAGAAAGGAGAGCGTGGATTCCCAGGACTTCCAGGTAAATCTTCACCTTCTTCATCACACACTCTGCTGGTCGTCCACCTGTGACATCACTGATCTCCATGACAACAGTGAAAAATGATTCAAAATAATAACAAGATGAGGACAAGCCAATAGAAATGTCCTCTGTCCCTGACACTAACGTCTGTTGTTGTTCCTCACAGGAACCACTTCTAACATCGACATCTACGCCTTCAAGGTAAAAACAAATCCTCAAATTCATATTTAATTAACTGTGCGTGACACTGGTACCAGTGAGTACCATGTGACACTGGTACCAGTGTGTACTATGTGACACTGGTACCAGTGTGTACCAGGTGACACTGGTACCAGTGTGTACCAGGTGACACTGGTACCAGTGTGTACCAGGTGACACTGGTACCAGTGTGTACCAGGTGACACTGGTACCAGTGTGTACCATGTGACACGGGCACTGAGGTGTACTATGTGACACTGGTACTGAGGTGTACCATGTTACACTGTTACTGAGGTGTACCATGTGACACTGGTACTGAGGTGTACCATGTGACACTGGTACCGAGGTGTACTATGTGACACTGGTACTGAGGTGTACCATGTTACACTGTTACTGAGGTGTACCATGTGACACTGGTACCAGTGTGTACTATGTGACACTGGTACTGAGGTGTACCATGTTACACTGTTACTGAGGTGTACCATGTGACACTGGTACGAGGTGTACCATGTGACACTGGTACCGAGGTGTACTATGTGACACTGGTACTGAGGTGTACCATGTTACACTGTTACTGAGGTGTACCATGTGACACTGGTACCGAGGTGTACTATGTGACACTGGTACCAGTGCGTACCATGTGACACTGGTACCAGTGTACCATGTGGCACTGGGGCCAGATTGTACTATGGAACACCAGTATCAGAATGTACCATGTAGCATTGGTACCAGGTTGTTCCAAGTGACACTAGAATCATTATGTACAATGTGACACTGGTACCAGAGTAAACCATGTGACCCTGGTACCAGAGTGTACTATGTGACACTGGTACCGAGGTGTACTATGTGACACTGGTACCAGTGAGGACCATGTGACACTGGTACCAGTGTGTCCCATGTGACACTGGTACCAGTGTACCATGTGGCACTGGGACCAGATTGTACTATGGAACGCCAGTATCAGAATGTACCATGTAGCATTGGTACCAGGTTGTTCCAAGTGACACTAGAATCATTATGTACAATGTGACACTGGTACCAGAGTAAACCATGTGACCCTGGTACCATGGTGTACTATGTGACACTGGTACCAGTGTGTACCATGTGACACTGGTGCCAGTGTGTACCATGTGACACTGGTACCAGTGTACCATGTGGCACTGGGACCAGATTGTACTATGGAACACCAGTATCAGAATGTACCATGTAGCATTGGTACCAGGTTGTTCCAAGTGACACTAGAATCATAATGTACAATGTGACACTGGTACCAGAGTAAACCATGTGACCCTGGTACCAGAGTGTACTATGTGACACTGGTACCAGTGAACATCATACAGTGTTGACATTGTCTCCAACAGAATGAACTGAAGGGGGAGAGCGGTGACCCTGGAGTGAAGGGTGAAAAGGGAGAGCCTGGTGGTGGATATTTTGACCCCCTGTTTGGAGGAGCACAGGGCCCACAAGGACCTCCTGGACAACCAGGTCTACCAGTGAGTACTAGAGTAATGTGTATCATTGTTCATGTGACGGTGATGACATCATCGATGACATCAGTCAGAGCTCAGACCCTGTCATAAATAAATAAATGATTCTCTAATTCTTGTCTTTGTTTCTTAGGGTCCAAAAGGAGACTATGTGATCGGACCCCCGGGGCCACAGGGCCCACCAGGAACACCAGGTGTTGGTTATGATGGACGCCCAGGTGCCCCTGGTCCACCCGGACCTCCAGGACCTCCAGGCTCTTACCCTGGAGCCTACAGGCCCAACCATGGTGAGTGTAGGTTCAAACCTGGTCCTTCAGTCACGTCTTTATACTTTATTAACAAGCTTCGTTTTTACAGCTATCAACATTCCTGGTCCACCTGGTCCTCCTGGTCCACCTGGACTTCCTGCTCACTCGTCCAGTGTAAGTGAAGTCTTTTCATTTTTATATCAAAATGAACAATATAATGCAGTACTAGACGATACGATATCGTGAAAGTAGGTATCGCAATATTTCAGTCAATCTATTTTCTTACACAGGTCACAGTGTTGAAGTCGTACGACACCATGATCGCCACGGCGCGGCGTCAGACGGAGGGCAGCCTCATCTACATCATAGACAAAGCTGATCTTTACCTCCGAGTGAGAGACGGACTGAGACAAGTCATGGTACGAACCTGGACCCCAAAATATGACCATGTAGACCTCACCCTGGAGCAGTTGTTCCCAAAGTGGGGGGCGGGGCCCCCGGGGGGGTACAGAGCTAATGGAGAAGGGGGGAGGGGTGGCATCATGGGAAATAAGTTTTTGGAAATAAATTTGTTTATAAATTTGTGTCATTTTTGCTAATGCTAATGCTAATAGCATTTTTGTCTAATTTACTTTTTTATTCGAAATTGATATATGTGTTGATACAGTTTTACTTTCATTAGATTTTTTTGACTGTACTAAACACTCTGTGTAGTACTGTGTATATTCCTGTGTAGTACTGTGTATATTCCTGTGTAGTACTCACGTGTCTTTACTTCCCTCCTAGCTGGGACAGTACCAGCCGTTCTACAGGGACCTGGTGGGTACAGCACACAGAAAAGAAGAAAAAAAAAAAAGTACAACTCAAATGTACTGTGGATTTTACTACTTAATATTTGTGTATTCACAGGAGAACGAGGTGGCAGAGGTGCAGCCCCCGCCCGTCATCCTGTACCCCCAGTCCCAGGACCAGTCCCATAATAATGGAGCGGGTCATTACTCCCAGAGCAGCCCGGTCATTCGACCCCTCGAGCCTCCGCTGCACCTGCCTGAAGACCCCAAGCCCCCCCCTCATTATGACCCCAGGTTCCCCGACCCCAGACACACGGGTCACACTGACCAGACGCTGGTCACCCAGAGGGTTGAGAGCAGGTATCCTGTCACACCACAGCGACGACCCAGCCCCCCCCTGCCCCATCCTGGGGGCCACGGGCACACGGGATCAGGGGGGAGTGACTTAAACATTTTGTTACGTAGTTTTTAAATTAGAAACATATTAGAAATTTTCCTAAAATTCCCTCAAACACTTGGGAATTATTTTTTCTTTTTTATTTCAGCACTTTTAAACGATTTTAATTATTTTAATGGATTTGAAAAAAAACAAAACAAAGTGGATGACCATTTTAATAAATTAAAAAGTCAGCACCAGGGGGCAGCAGAGATACATTTCTGCTTTAAAGACACTTTTCTTTGACTCTTCAGTCCCTGGGGTGACATGGTGGTAATTTTTCTTGCCTTACAGCAGTGAGGTCAGCAGTTGGAGTCCTGGTTCATCTTCTAACAAACCTCCGTCTCCTCCACAGCTTCACCTCATCGCCCTGAACGCCCCTCAGTCCGGTAACATGCGAGGAATCCGCGGCGCCGACTTCCTGTGCTTCCAACAGGCCCGCGCCGTGGGTCTGAAGGGAACCTTCCGAGCGTTCCTGTCCTCCAAGCTTCAGGACCTCTACACCATCGTCCGTGGCTCAGACAGGGACCACCTCCCCATCTTGAACCTTAAGGTTAGACCGCGGAGCGTTTGAGTGTGGCGTGGTGATGGCGGCGGGGCGTCGGTCACTCACTTCTCTGTCTTTCAGGACCAAGTGTTGTTCAGCAGCTGGTCGTCCGTCTTTGGAGACAGGGCGGACAGAATGAGGGAGAACGTCCCCATTTACTCCTTCGATGGCAGGGACATCATCAGGGACAGTGCCTGGTGAGTCCATCAACACAGTCACCTGGTCCTGGTACCATGGATCACTGGTATCTGTTGCGCTGAGAGTTTTTTATTTTAACATCTGAATGGCAGCGTGACCAAGAGCAACACTTCATACATTTACCTGTCACGACATGCTAACGGCTAACGTTAGACAACAGCGTTAACACTCGCTACAACGTTAGACGAGTTGACGCAAATTAATCTAACTATAACTAATTAATCACAGTTAGTTTTTTATTTATCAAACAGGGAGACAAAAAAATACTAACACTTATTTATGGCTTAAATAATTATTTAATTTTAGATTTTATAATTAAAAAAGTATTCTTGAATAAAATGCATTTATTTGGGATTAATTAATTACAAGTTTGTTTTTATCATGTTTCATTAATTATTGTTTATAATAATGAATGAGAAATAATAATCAAGGTTTTAGAAACTATTGCTACTCTTCTCTTGTGTCATGTTGTTTTGTCAAATTGTATTTATTTATTTAGTTTAAAATTTTTCTTTTCTCTTCTGTTTTTTTCCTCTTTGTTCATTGTTTTGTTTTTTTGGTTTTTTTTGCCCCAGGCCAGAGAAGATGGTGTGGCACGGCTCAGACGTCCATGGACAGAGACAGACCGACCACTACTGTGAAACCTGGCGAGCCGGCGACCGAGCGGTGACCGGCCTGGCCTCGTCCCTCCAGAGTGGCCTCCTCCTGCAGCAGACCTCCAGCAGCTGCTCCGGCTCCTACGTCGTTCTCTGCATCGAGAACGCCCTCATATCACAGTCCAAAAAATAAATCCCTCATTTGTTTTGTTTTTTTATTTTTTGTATATTTTTCCGTCTCTTTTTCTGGTCCCCACTTCAACACGGTTTTACTTCCACGTCTTTTTTCACGTCTCTCTCCATGTGGAGGCGCTGCCTTCACTGAACTGTTCCTGCTGCGGCAGAGACACTTTAGCATCGTCTGCTTCTGCCCCTCCGTAAACGCCAAAGAGTCGGGTTGAACAGAGAGGGGTCAAGGTGGGGGGCGAGGGTGGATCCAGGGTCCCGATTTTTTCGGGCGCTCTGAGAAATATTATAAAGAGTGAAGCGACAGCAGAGAAGAAGAAAAAACACATTCTCAGATATTTTTAAACATTCTGTTTGTTTTTAATGTTTTTATTTTGGTTTATATGATGTTTTTTCAATGTTTTACTTTTTGAATTGTTTTAAAAAAAATGCTATACTTTTACATTTTTCCAAAAGAATTATCTATTTTACTTTTTTTTTTTTTACCCATGCTTTTTAGACGTGTGGATTAGGACGGGGGTGCAGTAAACTCTAAATAAATTTAAAGAAGAAAAATAAATATTTATTTTTAAATGAAGTTGATGTTAGGACCAGTAGAAAGTGATTGGGGAAAAAAATAAGAAAAAGTTTGTTTGTACTCCCTCCTGCACACACACACTCACACACACACACACACACACGTCCTGTTACTGCTGCTGTGACCGTCAGTGATTTCTTCTCTCCAAATTGAAACGTCCTTCAAGGACAATAAAAAAAAAAAATCAAATGTTTTTAAAAAAAAAAAGATTTAAATATTTTTTCTACTTTTCCGTCGATCACTCAGCGAACGGGACCTGAATCTGGTGCTGATTTTCCTGGAGTGAACGCTGCAGCCGGTGTGAAGACAGGAAACACCGCGGCGTCGGCGTCACTTCTCCTCCCTGTGATTGAATTATGACAAATGGACTAACTAGGTGTCAGTACCAGGTGTCAGTACCAGGTGTCAGTACCAGGTGCTTGTTGACTGAACCTGTGGATGTCTGTGTTTTTTATAACAGAATGTGCTGTACTGTTTCTACCAAGCACTGATTAAAGTCTTCTTCTCAACCACAACACTGGTCTGATCTACTGGACCAGGACCAGGACCTGGACCAGGTGGAAACCCTCCTGCCATGGTCTCTGGGCTTTTTCATGTGTGTTTGCCCCACAGCAGCTCTGATTACCCCCCCTCCTTTGACCCCCCCCCCTCACGTTCTGAAACTGAAAATGTTGTATTTTTACTCATTCACTCTTAATTGACCATAGGTGTGAATGTGAGCGTGAATGGTTGTTTGTCCTTTTATGTAACCATGTGATGGACTGTCCAGGGTCTAACTAGTCTTCATCCTTATTGCCGGTCAGATTTGGTCTAGCGCCCCCTGGTTATGTATAAACAAATAATTCATATATACTGTTGGATTTTATTTTGAAGTTTTTGCTAATTTTTCGTGATACAGATTACAAATTTTCCCACAAACCAGTAGAGGGAGCACCACTAGTACCACCAGTGGCACGTGTACCGTAGTTTGAGAACCACTTTTCTTGCTTGTACGTGGAGATGTCATCACTGTGTTAACATACTGCAGTAATGACAGTCTTCTTGTGTACAAAAAGTATTGTATGTCTTAGTACTCGTGTGTACACAGTTCAAACTTTACTCGTGTACTACTTTGACTTCACATTTCCACCTTCCATTAAATGGATCCGACGCCTGAAGGCATCGTCCTGACAGCCGGTCACGCCCGTTCATTTTCCCACTCAATTATAAAACAGATAATTTCCTAAAAAAAAAAATATATAATCAGTAAATACAGACGGCCTCCACTCAGTTCCATCAAATAAAGCTTCATCATCTCGACCCACTGAGCCTCCGTACCGCCTGCCGCCCTGCAGCTTATGTTCTAATTCCCTGCAGCAGCAGCAGCAGCGGAACACGAACCACTGTCCGTGTCTCCCCTGAGTGGCGTATCATCCATTTAAGTCCTGACGGACCGAGGTTAGAGTGGGTGGGGGGGGTGGTCGGGATGTCAACACCGCAGCTGGCTTCACTGAAGCGTCTGCCGGGGGGGACGCTATATTTAGTGGGTGCTAGTTAATAACTAAGTAGACTGAGATGATCCGGCGACACT